GAGAGAGCGGGAGACACAGAATCCGAAACAGGCTCCAGGCTCTGAGCTAGCTGTCAGCACAGAGCCCGACGTGAGGCTTGAATCCACGAGCCATGAGATCATGACCTGAGCCGAAGTCGGCGACCCAACCGACTGAACCACCCAGGCTCCCCTTGGCGTCTGGCTCTTGATTTCGGCTCAGGTCCTGATCTTGTGGCTCGTGAGATGGAGCCCCCATCTTGCTAAAGGCTGCTTGGGATTCTCTCCATCTCCTTCTCTGCCCCTCCACCATTCATGCTCACATGCCCTCTATCACTCAAAATAAATACATGAATTTAAAAAAATAAAAAATAAAAATGTTGAAGGGAGAGGTGGCATTAGGCAGAGTGAAGAGGGAGCCTCAGGGTGAGACATGTATAGGTAGAAGAGAACCTGTAAAGCATGAATAGCCTAAGAGGAATTTGGGAAAATAAAAGAATTACTAAAGGTTTTTAAGTTGTTTGCCACAGGCCCATGGGGTGCCATGCCCTTGTCTCCTTCTTTGTCATGCTTTCTGTTCTTTAGTACAGGCTACTCTGTTCTCTTATGCTCTTTGGTGAACGTGAATTCTTTTGAGGAAATATGGGGGTAGGGCTGCCTCTCAGTATATTTCTGGTTTCCTAAAGGTAAAAATTCATTATTGGGGAAAACTGCAGCTGAAGACAGTAGATCTTGGGGATGTAGATCTCTATGTATAGCAAATCTTCAGAGACAATGTAGGGTCCAAAAGGAAATCACCAAGCAGTAAAAAAGGGTCTCAGGTAACATCAGGGAAACAGGTGGAATACAATGATTTCGCTAAAGGTAAATATATGACACGGTGAATAGGTGGAGTTGGAGGCATCTAAGATATCATGGAAGGAAGGACAGAACTGCTGGGTGAATGGTGGGGAGTGGTTGTGTGTGTTTCTCTTTCCTGTGTTGCCCCCTCCCCCACCCTCAAGAACTTTCGGTGTCTGTACTAAAGCTCTGTGATGTGGGCCTGGAACTCTAGTCTAGAACATGTACTCTCAATGCCCAGCTGCCTTAGGCATCAATATATTTCCAATGACATGAATTATCTTCATCTGAGAAGCCTTACTGTACCATGGCTGAACTTCAATTCAACTTGCTAGGTATTCCCATCCTTGCCCTCCTGGGTGGGGTGGGGGTCCTTCTTCTGGCACTGTGCTATCTAAAAAGGAATCCATGTTTGCCAATATTTTGGAAACACAGAGACATCAATCAGGCAAGTAGAGTCCTTCAGAGATATTATTTTTTTCTTTACAAATAGATGCATTGAAAGCTATCAACTTCCAACTATTGCTTTTGCTGAATCTTACAAATTTTTATTAAGTTGTATTAAAAATTTCTTTAAATTTATTTTTGAGAGAGAGAGTAAGTTCAAGTGGGGGAGGGACAGAGACAGGGAGACACAGAATCTAAAGCAGGCTCCAGGCTCTGAGCTGACATCACAGAGACCAATTCTGGGGTCAAACTCACAAGCTGTGAGTCCCTGACCAGAGCTAAAGTTGCTAAAGTTTAAAGCCCCTGACCAGAGCTAAAGTTAACCAACTGAACCACCCAAGCACCCTGATTAATTGTATTTTAATTTTCTTTTAATTTAAAATATTTTTTCTCTTGAGACTTCTTTCTTGACCCATGTATTAGTACTATGTTATTGAATCTCCAAACATTTTGGGATTTCCAGCTATCTTTTTATAATTGATTTCTAGTTTAATTCTATTATGGTCTGAATACATTCTTAGTGTGATTTCTACTTTACATTTGTTCAGGTGTGTTTTGTGACCCAGAATGTGGTCCATCTTAGTGAATGTACCATGTGAGTGTGAGAGGAATGTGTATTCTGTTTTTGAATGAAGTATTCTATAAATGTCAGATCAAATTGATTGGTGGTGGTGTTCAGGTCACTTATATCTTTACTGATTTTCTGCTTGGTGAATCTGACCATTTCTGATGGAGGGCTATTGAAATCTCCAACCATAACAGTGGATTCATCCATTTTTTCTTGCAATTCTACCAGTTTTTGCCTTACGTATTTTGACACTATGTTGTTACCTGCATATATGGTAAGGAGTGCTGTGTCTTCTTGGAGAATTGACCTCTTACTGTTATGTAATGCTACTCTTTATCCTTGACAATTTCCCTGTTGTGAAGTTTGCTTTGTCTGGTTAGTGTTGGTTAGTGTTAGAAGATACACTTTTCTCTATCCTCCTGTTTTTAATCTACCTATATCTTTACATTTAAAGGGAGTATTTTGTAAAGAACATAAAATTAGGTCTTGTCTTTTTATTCACTCTGACAGTTTTCTCTGTCTTTTAATTGGTGGATTTAGATCAATTCCATTTAGTGATTTTTAAAATGTAGTATCTACTTTGTAACTGTTTACTATTCATTATATCTATTCATCATTAAGAAACATTTTATTTTATTTAAGAGAGAGAAAAGGCACAGACAGTAGAAGAGGCAGGGGGGCAAGAGAGAGGAAGAATCTCAAGCAGGCTCTATGCCCAGTGCAGAGCTTGATGCAGGGCTTGATCTTCCGATCTTGAGATCATGTCCTGAGACAAAATGTCAAGAGTCAAATCCTTGACCAACTGAGTCAAAATGTCAAGAGTCAAATGCTTAACCAACTGAGTCATCCAGGCCCATCTGTAAAAAATATTTTCATGGCTGCCCTAGAGTTTGTCATATACATTTACAACTTTCATATAACGCTATATCACTTAATAGGTAGTGTGGGAATTTAACATTCCTCCTGTTACTTTTAACACTGATGTCATTCATTTCACTTATCCATATATTGTAATCACCAAAAACATTATTATTATTGTCATTTGAGAATAAGACAAATAAAAGTGTTATTTTAGCTTCATCCACTCCTTCTTGTCTTTTCCGTTTTGTAGATTTGAGTATTTTCCCTCTCCCTGAAGGATGTCTTTTAACATTATGCAGGGGCGATCTGGTGCTGATGAATTCTCTCAGTTTTTGTCTTTCTATTTCTCTTTCATTTTTGAAGGATAATTTCCCTAGATATAAAATTCCTGATTGGTGGTTCTTTCTTTCAACACTTTTCTTTCAACACTAAAGATTACACTCTAATCTCTTACTTGCAGGGTTTATGCCAACAGGTCATAATTATTACCTTTTTTCCTCTAGAGGTGGGGTTTTTATTTTCTTCTGGATTCTTGAAAGGTTTTATCTTTTGTTTTCCTACAGGTTGGAAATGATATGTGCAGGTATAGACTTTTTTTTAGTAATTTCCTGCTTGGTGTTCTCTGAGCTTCTACTATGTTTGGGTATTCTAGGTTTTAGCTTTAAAAAATTCATTTTCTCTTTGATTTTCAGCTTGGAACATTTCTACTGCCATGTATTCAAAGTAACTTGTTCTATCCTTGACCATATGCAACCGAAAGATGAGTCAATCAAAGGCAATCTTCATCTGTCATAGTGCTTTTGGTTTCTAACATTTCCTTTGATTTTTAGAGTTTCCCAAATCTATACTTACATTCCTCATCTGCTCTTATGTGTTGTCTACTTTTACATATACAGCCGGTAAGAACTTGGGGGTGGGGATGTGAAAATGTGAAAAACTGTCTGTCTTTTAATGGGCCTGTGTCCCGGGCTTGTGATGTTTGAAGTGTTTTGAAGCATTTTTGTTTTGTGTTGTCTCACTCCATAGAAGAGACAAGAAGGCTAGAGGAGCTGCTCTGGTTGAGTAATTTACCTACTCCTACGTGGCATTAGGCTTCGGTAGTCTTTCCCCTGCTGAGTAGGCTTGTGTTATGGAGAACTCTAGGATACTTCACAATGTTTTCAAAATGGTTACATTTCTCTTAAACCCTATATTCCTTTACAAGAAACATGAGCATTTTTTCAAAGCTGTTTACTATGAACCAGGTGGGGTTCCTGATAATAAAAGTTATGAATAAGTGGGGGCCCTCATTAAATTTTGACACCAGGAGTTTCTCACTCTCATGCTAGCCCACATGCATCCTCCAGTAATTTGTCAAAGTGTCTACTTAAGTGTTCCTACCAGGAGAGCAATCCCAATCCTCCAGAAGTTTCTGTTCCAGGTAAGATGATCTTAACTATGGTTCTCTGCATTTACACTCTCTGAAGATTTAGGGTAGTAGGTTTGCCACTATGGCTCTAAGAAAAGTCATTGATTCTCAGTTTGCTTCTTTCAAAGACTAAAGTGATGACTCTCAGGCTTTTAAAATGTGAGAGTTGGAACCAGAGATTGCCCTTCAGAGATGACTATTTTCCTGTTCTTCTTTCCACATTACTAAAAGACTTTGGTCAGGTCAGAGAGACACCTAAAATAGAAAGCTTAAGAGAACAGACATCCACTCCTCTAGAAACAGAGATCTGGCAGGGCTACGGGTTAAGGAACGACTAAGGTTTCCACTTGAAGCTCACAGGCTATCTGGATGTGGAGGCGGGTCGTGGGTAAAATCCCACACACAGTGACTCTATAGTCCTGGACTGGGTTATTTAGAGAGTCTGGGATCTGTGAAAGAAAACAAAGCTCCCCAGCACTTGATCAAGAGTTACAACCCACATCAGGCATCACTCGACCAAGCCTTGCTTCATGTTGGGTTGATCAGGAGGGCAGTGCTGAGTCTCTGAAAGCCTCCGAGGGTTCTGAGCTACATCCCATGATACAGGGTCCTACCTGAGGGAACACAGATGTGACTGCTGGTTTCAGTTTGTATGTCCTCATTGAACAGAGGACTTCTGGCTGAGAATATCAAGTGTGGACATCATACACAAAATCATTCCTTGAGTTTTTCAAAGTAGTAAATATTGACAACATTTTATCATCTTTAAAAATTGATAAAAGCAAGGACCCCAAAATTCTGTTAATTAAAATAGAGTCATAGTATTCAAGGATACTAAATTTCCCTGTTTCCTAGAGAGAAGAGAGACAGAGAAATGATTCTTAGTTTCTTATTCTTTTATTTTTGTTTTTGCATCAGGGCAGAGCCAAGAGGAGGTTGGGACACTGAAAGGTAAGGTTCTGACGATTCCACCTGAGCTCTTCAAGGGTGACCCTTTCTGTCCTTTCTATGAGGTCCCTGGTCCATGATCTCTGAGGATGTCAGTTGCTAGATACTGTCCCTCTCAGAAAACAGGACATGAGGAGAAAATGTTCATGGAAAGGCAGTCTGAGGACAAGACGCTTCACAGTTTTCCTTGCTCTGCCCATCCCTGAGCATGAAGCATTGATAGGCCTGGTCAATGGTTATTGTCCTGTAAGTGGCCATGTGATAATCAAGAGTCAGAACTTCTGTCTCTTGACTTTGTGAAAGACCTGTGACATCATGGATATTCATATTCCTCTTAGAAGTACTCATTGACCTATGTTCTTCATGTTTTTTTCAATATCACATGGGATAGTATATACAAAAGTCCTGTGTGAATGATAAAACAATATACTTATGTGAGTCCTGTTATTATTATCATTGACTATGTGATCTTATATCCTCATTCTTGGCGCTCTGCAAATCCAATCTACCAAGTGCATCACTTAAAGTACACTGTACTCAGCATCTCGTAGTATCTCTTGCTTCTACCTTCATCACTCTCCTGGTTTTGCAGGTTCGAGAATTTGCAAGAGCGAAATCAAGGAGGCAAGAAAGGTGATTTCTTTCCTGCAAAGGTGACGAAACATTACCTTCTTTCCTGACCGCCTTATTTAGCAGCATCTAAGAATTTCTAGGATCTCAGCAAAGCCTGGGGTTGACATGGGAGAGAAAATCCTCAGGGGCAGACTATGAAAGCCTTGGGGATGAGTGTGGCCCTACTTTTGTCAGGATTGCCAGAGTCACATATGTTTGTTATGGTCATGGCCGCAGCTTTGTACCTCCTGTCTCCTGCAGCCTGCTGTGCCAGCATGATACCTTCCACTTTTGTCAACTATTATGTCCAGACCCCTTCTGTGACATGTGTAAAAGCACAACTTCTGAGGTCCATTGGCTGCTGTTTCTGGAGGCCCTGGAAGATGCTACTCCCTGTGTGATCACTTTGGCTGCCTCAGCTCTGTGACCGATTCATCACTCACTCTGTCCCCTGACTTCACAGCAGGCCCTCCAGGAGGCCTGAACCAGCCACTCTACCTGAGCCTTCCCCACCACTCCCCTCCCTTTTCTCACCTAAATTTTTCTTACCCTCACCACCAGGTCACTCTCTGCCACCACAGCCTTTTTCTTTTTTGAATTCCAAATTTCCAGTGGACCATTCCACACCACCCATTGCCTTACTCCTTTCCTACTACATGACATTCAGAAAGGGGATCCTATTGCCCAACCAGAGGCCACTTTACCTCTGAATACCCTCTTTTCTCTTGACACCACGTTTTCCAAGATGTCAACCTCTTACCAAGACTTTCCCAGACAAAGAATCCCACTGATTCATTTGCTTGTCATCATGCACCACCAACCATGTCTGTTTCACCACTATCAGACTTTAAATGAGACTTTAATCTAAATCAATTTCACTTTAAATGAGACTCAATCTAAATCAATTCCCATTCCTTGAAGCCTGTTCTGGAGAACTCAACTCCAGATAGCCCTGGTGGGTAGTCCAATTATGTCCCAACAATTGGCTGTTCAAGCCTGTCAAACCCTGTTGGCATGCTCAAGTCCAGAACATGGGCCTAACCACATTATCATACTCTAACTTTCAGCAAGAGCAAGATATTTTCCATCTACTAGGAACCCATTTCTGGGGAGACTCTGCTACCAAGCACAAGGAAGCCAGTCAAGTTTCTTTCCTTGGCCTTAACATCCAGGCAGTCTTGGAGAGACAAATGAAAAACAGAATGCCTTTCCAGATTTTAGAGAAGAAAGAAAAAGAAGAGGGACCATTTTCAAAACAAATGTGGTCAGAACACCAATGGATATCTTCAGTGAATTCACTGCAGCCATTTGATGTACAGGGCACCACAGTCCCCAAAACCGGCTGGAATGTGGAAGGCAAACAGGAGCACCTGTGCATTTGCCAGCAGCTTCACTGTCTCATGTGTTTGGGGGAAAACTTGCATCAGAAATATATCCAGCTCTTCTGGGGTCTTCCCTCTTTGCATAGTGAGTCCTTAGTAGCCACACTCCTGGTATCTAGTAGTACTTCTCCACTAGAGTCTCACTTTGTTTTATTCAATGGACTCTATAATGCTTCTGCAATCAAAATGGAGGATCAAGAAGTTCTACTACATCCTCATTCCCATCACTTTCCTCACCCTAGTATATATTCCCAACCCTTGCCTCAAACCCCGTCCCAATCCCAGCCCCTACCTTTCACTCAGGTGAACCCCCAGGCCCATCATCAATCTTGCCTCCCACTCATACCATCTTATTCTTCATCCCAGACTAGGGACTGTGGAGTGTTTTTACATAGATCTAAGAATGAGTTAGACTCTCCTATCATGACTGAAAATCAGCACCTGGCATGGTTTGTGTTAAAGAAGCACCAGGAAAGTTTGTGGGGTGTAGTCCCTGGGTTCCCAAAATCTCAAGAAGTTGTTTGTCCTCAAGCCCTCAACCTTCCATTGGTTAGCCGGTCATCCCATGCCTGTGTACCAGTCTCCATCCTTCCTGGCCATTTGTATATTACCCGTGAACCACAGAAGAAACTGGAGTTTCATGGTGCAAGGAAGGTAAGCCCACGCTGGTGTCTGCATGCCTGCAGAAATCTACAGTCTCTAGCAATGCTGGAGCTGCAGTGTAAATTAACAGAAATGTCTCAGCCAAAAGGTAGACATCTTTGCTCAAAATTCTCTGAGCTCCAGGGCCATAGTAGCAAGGATCTAGCAAAGACTGAATTGAGTTTCTCAGGAAGTTTCCATGAGAGGGTCCCAACAGAATTTCAGCTAAGGATGAATATGATGAGGAATTTTGGGTATGTCCTAGAGAAGAGCCCAGAAGACAGCCCACAAAGGGTGTCAGAATGCTCCCTAGTGAAGGATCTTAGGGCTGCCTTGTGGGCAAAAAGTAACTGTGTGTGTCATTCAAGGAATCACTCAGGGAATGAATTACTCAAGGTCTTAAGGAAGGACACAGATGAGAGTCAAATAAAAATGATCCTTAGATTACATTTGATAAAGAAATATTGGCAGATTATTAGAGACAGGATTCCTATAGGTGTATGTTGTTCATGGCTGGCTGATGACAGTGCATTGCCTTTGTGCGGGAGTTCCCAGAATATAATGGGAAACACAATTTCAAAAAACACAATGGTGGGTAGGGTTTACTGCCACATTACCTTTCTGGAGCTTTCTTTTCTCAATCCCAATACACGACAAGTGCTAGAGGCCCATATTATAAGATTTCGGATGAGTCAAAGGTGGGGTCTACCGCTCAGGGTTCTTCAGTCTATAAAATTCTGTATGTTGAGAGAAGCCAAAACATGGTCTCTTTCCCAAATTGACTTTCCCTCCTCAGCCATGTATATTTCTGTGGTGGATTCCAAAGCTGAGTTTTCTAGCCCCCTTGAGAGAAGCTCTAAAACTTTTCATGGAAACAGGCTGAGAACAAAGTCAGTCCCCACCCTGGATCGTTCTCTCCCTGCTATGTCATCTATAGGCAATGAAGGACGGAGGGACCTGAAACCATCACTCTCTGACACCAACCATGACCTTGCAGACAGAGGGTATGGAAGTCAGACTTTTCAGCCCCTTTCACATAGCACCATAGCTCAAGTGAGACAGGGTGAGGCTGATCTAGAAAACAGATGCAGCCCAGAAGAGCCCCAAAGGCAAGCTGAAGCTGGACATAAGCTAAAGGATGAGAATGTGAGTCCTAGGGATGCAACAGAAATGGTTCAGGGCACAGTGATGTTGGAGAAGAATTTAGAACATTTTGCAATGCGCAACTTGTCCAGGGATATATTCAAGACCGAGGAGCTGTTTACTCTTCAAGCTCGATCTTGTGAAGTCTTGACAACCAGTGAGTTGGAAAGCTCCAAAATGATAAATGTCAATTTGAGAAAGGTAGAAGCTGCGCTGACCACTGAACATCCCTCAACAGAAATACTGGTTCCCCAAGATTCTAAACTATCAGACCCTAAAAGACAGCTCCTTAGTCAGTTAAAATTGAAATTGGAGAGGGAGAAGCATATTCAGGCACAAGAATGTCCCACTGACATGTCCCTTACTTCAAATAGCTTGACTTCCAAGGCCTCACTGACTCAGTTCCAGAATGTCTGTTGTGGGGACATGGGAGTGTCTCAGGTGCTGCATGTCCACTTGGAGGACAAAAAGATTAGTCCGGAGCAGCAGGAGTCCTGGCACTCTAAGCAGGTATTAGGTAGGTGCCAGCCTATGAGTCATCCACAAAGAAAAATTGCAAGGAAAGTGAGACCTCAGGGTATCAAAGCAGGAAAATGTAGAAGTGAGGATTCAGGGGGAGGGACATCCGTAGCCAGAAAGAAGAGTCATCATGTCGAGGACAGAAAATTAGATGGTGCTTCCTCATCTCTGTCACAGAATGAACTGTTTCCTCCTGAGAGTTTCTTCAGCAAAAAGATGAGGCAATTTATTCAGTGGATCAAGTCTATGAAAAACACCACAAAACAGGAAAGTTGCTGGCACCAAGACCCAGGTGACAGTGTAAGTGCTCTTGTGAGTGGTGGGCCTCCTGAAGCTCGTGAGCTCATGACTGCCATTGGGAAGATCCTAGAAGAGAAGGTGACATGTAGGTATGAATCTGAGGTCTCTGAGTTAAGCCAGCAGAAGGAAGAACTGCAGGCTCAGGTAGGGCCCAACAAGAGGCATCCCTCCAACTATCAGGCTTTGTCTGACCCACCACAGCACAAACAGGCAAGTATTGAGTTCTGTAGCCAAGAAGCTGTCTCTGCTGAACAGAACTATCTTACAAGTGTCAGGCAGGACAGACACAGGACCAGAATTCCCCAGAAAATTGGGGCCTTCAAGAAGCAGCTATTAAGCTGGAGTCAACCTGCTTCTTCTCCGCCATCCAGGGAGCCCGTGCCTCATCCAAGCCCCACCTGTGTGCATCACATAAGCCAAGTCCGTCCAGCCATCCTCACCGCTGATGAAAGTACTGTGTTCAGAGATTTGACTCTTCTATTCAAGCAGAAAACGCTTCTCCAGCACTTTGGGGGAGAAGAAATTTCCCTAAAGAAATCATTTAGTCCTTGTTGAGAAAGTCTTACAGTTTTCACGATAACATATTCTCTGATCAGAAGAATCTTCTTCAGCACAACTGAGAGTATTAGTCCTCCTCAATAAACGTTTGTTCTAATGGAGAGTGGGGTTCTCTGGGCACTTCACTGGGATTGTAGGGTGGCATGCGGCATGGGAATAGGAACTTGTGCTTAGGGAAAGGAAGAAGTGAGTTCAGCTTTTAATGTTTTCCTCTCCAGACTTTTTAATCCATACCGGTCCCTTGTAAGAAGACTGACAGTGGCCTACTCAGTTGAATCCTGGGGCCCTGTATGTGGCCCTGCTCAAGGGTCCTATATTTAAAACATTTATTTTTTTTCATAAAATGTACAAAAGTCTTATTCTGAAAACATTCTGGCCTTCACAAAATTAGAAAAACCCTTAGAGTCTAGAACTTGGCTCCACCTGTGTTTTCATCTGCTCCCAAACTATTCTGAAGTAGATAGAGCTCTAAGGTGGGATGAGTTACTATGGAATGTAGGCCTCACCTCCTGGAGACTACTTGGAGCTTATTAGAGCACAGAGATACCAATGGCTTAAGAGGACACCATATAGTCTTTGTTCGTGAAGACTACCTCCAGGGATACTGTCAGGGCGGCTGTCCTGCTGTATGGTGCCTGCCTTCCCAGATGTGCTACATTCTACACCAAGGTTACAGTAATTTAGAGGTGCATTAGTTATGAATTGCTGTGTATGGATATCCCAAAATTTAGTGGCTTAAAAATACATATTTATTATGTCACAATTTTTATGGGTCAGAAATTCAGGCAAGTCCTAGCTGAATTTTCTACTTCAGAGAGTCTCAGAAGGCTGCAATTAAGGTGCCAGCTGAGGCTAGGTTCTCATCTGAAGGTGTGACAGAGGAGGGACCAATTTGTATACTCACTTACATAGTTGTTGGCCGGATGCGGTTCCTCAAAGACTGTTGAACTGAGTTCCTCAATACTGTGGTTGGTCCCTGATGGGAGTTGGCTCTTTCCTTGTCATGTGGGCTTCTCCAACATGGCAGCGTACTTCGTCAAAGCTGGGAGAGAGTTAGCAAACAAGACAGAAGTTACAATCCATTTTAAACTAATGATGGAAATCGACATCCTATTACCTTTCCTTTACTCTACTAGTCAGAGGCAAATCAATAAGGTCAACCAGTGCTCAAGGGGAAGAGTAGTTACACATAAGTGTACACTTAAGTAGGTGGGCATTGATGGAATCTTAGAAGTCTTCCTAAGGCGAGGGTTTCTTCCTGGACACCCTACTCAGTTCACTGAAGCAAAAGTGGCCAAAGGTGCCAACAGGACCCTGTGCCTCATCCACATCGATGTCGTCAAGTTCAAAGCTGTTCAATGGCTAAGAGGAGTGGCAGCTGGAAGGAAAATTTCAGAGATTGGAGCATCCAAAGAAGGAAGAACAGGTTGTATAGAGGTAAAGGTGGTGTGGGGTCATCCTGAAAGGTTAAGTAAAATAAACCCTAAGAAGCACCTGACTCACCAACCTTAGAGAAGAAGCAAGCTTAGGGGCAATATGACTCATCCTGGCTCTACCACAGTTCTTCCACTTTGCTCTAGCTCCCAGACCTTAGGGCTAAGAAGTAACCTTCAGCTTCTCTCAACCTAGCCAAACTGATAGACGAACCAAACCCTACAGGTTGCAAGGTTTAATTCCTGTTCTTATTAATATATTTAGTATAGCACATATATATGTTCAATTTTGATTCTCCTACCTTGAACATCAGGGAGAATGAGTCACCCAATTGATGGGAAAGCTAGGACTGGGATCTCAGAATATGTACCTCCCATCTTGGGATATTTTCCATGTACCTTGGCTTGAAGACTTCTAAGCAAAGGAGATGTGGTGGTGTAAAGGTGTTGAGTTAATGGCCTGGGGTCATATGAGAAATCATACAGAATCCATTGCCTCCATTCAGAGAAAACATTGGAAAGGTAATGCGACAAAATTTGCATACTCAGAACATCCAGGATGTGATCTGTCTACATGATATGGTAGCACCATCCATGAATGATCTTATACTTTTGTTCTGCTTCTAGATTATTTTCCTTTCTTCTATAGTCCTGTTTCATTAGGAGAGCAGCACTGTCATATAAAGCAAGAAAGTGTATTTGTTGAAGAATGATTGTACAGATGATCAATTTTTCTAGAAAAAGATGTGGTTTGTGCCCACCTCCGTGATCACAGTATTATGAGAATCCAGAGGAGTATCATTTACATGATATAGTGTGGTGCTTGAAGAATTGTCATTGAATTCTCTGTCACAGAATTCTCTGCCCATCCCCTGCTAGGGTTCGGTCTCTCTCTTTCTCAAAAATAAATAAACATTAAGTAAAAATTAAGTGTAGCAGTGCTTCCCCGTGGAAGGGAGGTTAGGCTTGCAATGACAAGAGTGGTTCATATTCCTCTGCAGGAATTCTTTTGATGTTTGGGTAACCTTTATTTGAGGCAGGATACTTTACCAAACTATTGATTGCCATCTCTCTACTCTGCCAGGGGGGACTCCAAAAGGAATAAAAAGTTAACTTCCCCTTTTGTCTTACAGGGAGTGCTGGGCTTCTCCTCTCAGGGGTCACAAATGGCCTTCGTATTTTCTGACCCCAAAGAGAACTTGTGAGGCACCTATTGCACAGCCCTCTCCAGACTCTTCTAAGTGAGAGGAAAATTTAGCCAAGTGTTCTTAGAAGAGAGGAGAGATGGGATGACAGAGGTCCTGTGGTGAAAGGAGAGTTGCTTAAGGTACCAGTGGTCCAGTGACTTGGTAATACTGATGTAAAGATGTGTTCCTTAAACAGATGGTTCTCTGCAGAAGTCTTCTAGGAGAGACCACAATTCTTTTAAAGGATGAAATGATGTTTGTTGAGATAATGAATCATCAAGCCCCATTACTTGGGAACTGCATTGCCCATGCTTGGAATAGAGGCTGTACAACCATTGGCCTCTCAATGGGCCAAATGAGCTTGGACAATGAACATCCCACTGGCAACCATGATGGACTTAAGAGCAGAGGCTCTTTCACATATTTTGCCTGATAGCAAAATCCTCCCCTACCACCCTCACTGCCAGCCATGACTAACATAAGATACCCCCTTTTACCAAGGGGACTTTAGAACTAAATTTAATTTAATTTAGAAATTAGGCAATCCTTGTTGCACTTCAATTCTGTAAAACATGCTTTTATGTATATTATCCATTCAATGTTTATAATCCTTCCAAGTAGGTTTCTTAATCCCCTCTCAGAGAAGGGCAATCAGGAGGACAGAGAAGGTAATATATATTTAGTGTGCTAGTATGGCAAGAGGGAGCTAGGATGGAGAGCCCCCTTGTACTGATTGGAATTACTTGGATGTAAATGACAGTAAAAACAATGGCACTGACTTAAGAAAGAGAATCTGTTGGTTCAAGTACCTGAGAAAATGTAGCAGTGAGGCTGGCCTCTGGCAGGAGGGTTCAAGCTGGGGCTCAGTTGATGCCATCAAGATTCAGTTTCTATCCATTTCTCGGCACAATATTCTGCACTGACTTTCTGTACACATTGTGTACCTGTAAGTGTATCTTTCAAGCATTTGGTATAGCTAAAAATGGCTGTCTCTCTCATAGTCCCTGCAAAAGTCCCATTGTGCCTTATTGTCTCCAGTTGGGTCACATGCTAATCTCTGACCAATCCCTTCTGTCAAAAGCATAAAACCATCTTTTGGCCAAGCCTGAGTTAGATACCCATTCTTAAACAGGAGTGTCCAGGAAAGACAGCTCGATCTTTACATGGACTGAGACTGAGAATGAGGTTAATTCTCTGAAGATCAACCAAGGGACTATTTCCAGAACCTTCCAGAATCCAGTGAATGCTGGGTGTCAAAACAAAAACAGATATCTCCTACATCTCTCTCTCTCTCACTGCCCCACTTCTGCCTTCTTGTCCAGAGGTATGCCACTGACTAAAGCTTGGAGTTGCAGGAAATGCTGATTTTGCAGAGACCCTGGGATAGAAAAGAAGTGGGATGGGGCCCAGGACTTGGACTTGAAGTGGGAGAAAGCTGTCAGAGCCTCAACATCTATGTGGATTGACCATCCAATAATCTCATCTCCCAGAGTGGGGGGACTGTGGTAGAGCCAGGATGAGTCATATTGCCCCTAAGCTAATCTCTCACGGTCTACCTTTTCTCATCCTAGAGCCCTCTACCTCCATTCCAGTTTAGTTATGATCATAGCCCAGAACTTGTCACCAGGAACACTTCTGCATCTGAAAAAACTTTCTGACATTCCATCTGATTTTACTCTTTCAGCTTATGCCCTCAGTATGCCAATTTTTCAACCTATTCAGGAACTACAAGCCACTTTATATATCTCCCTGTCCACCTGACAGCATTTTCCTCCATTTCTTCCCTCTCCAAGGAAAATTTCAAGGTCCACTACTTAATCCCAAACCTAGATAACTCTATTCTCAACAGCCGAACCCTTTTGCCTTTCATCTGTCATGCCTGGCAAACTCATTCTATCTTTTTTTGACCTTTCTTCTAATAAGGGGCTATTTTCATGTGGTTCAAATCACACAAGAAAGTATGTTGATGCCACCATAAATGTTCTATCAGCTCCAACACTGCCCAAAGACCAGCGATTCATTTCCTCAGTGTTTACTGTGTACTTGGCTTTCTTCTAAGCACTGGGGGCACACCAGGAAAGGAAACAGCTCCCTGTCATGGTGGAGTTTGTAGGATGGTTATTTAGTCAATTCTCTGGCCTAAATGCTCAAAACGATTTCACTTTCCTTCAATTTTTCCACAATCAACACTAACTGAGCATGTGTCCTGGATCACCACTGGGAAATGAGAAGTCACCAGAAGTTTGCATCATTAAAACATTTCAAACAGTAACAAAACCAAAACGTGAAACCCATCCCTTCTTTCCTCACTCCTTGCTATTACACTGGAAGCTTTCCTCGGCGTCTGTCCTTACTTTCCAATCGAGAACACTTCCCC